TTAGTGCGTCACTGCTCCACCCCTTGAGTATATAGCACAATTAATTAATGTTATCGCGTTTGAACTTATTGTCTCGTCACAATCGCGTTTGGAGATAGAGGCTGTTTCATTTTAGACCGAGTTCACCTAGAGCAGGGGTCGGCAACCTACGGCTCCGGAGCCACATGCGGCTCTTTACGGGCTGCTTCTTGACGATGAGTACGTATGTACTCAGATGCATTGCGGCTCTTGAAATACTGAATTTTGTACCGAATTGGAAAGAAATGGCTCTTCTTGTTATTTTGGTTGCCGACCCCTGACCTAGAGGAAGCCCTGAGTTGCAGTGCCAAGCGTTGCCTCTTTCAATACGCAGCTATTATTGCACTCGTTCACACAGGGAAGTCTCACTGAGTGTCGTGTCCCTTTTTCAGAAGGGTGCCACCAAGTTTTCGCGGGAGATGAATGCCAGTTGAGTAAGTTGTGAACATTTTTTCAAATTTGCCAAAATTTGGACCAGTTGGCATTCGACATTACAAAACATGTAGGCCCCTCACCGGAAACATATTGGAACAGTTTTGGATACCACTTAATTGTCAGCAAAATTAAAGGTGGCAATGTAATTTCAACGATTGACTCACAACTGGAAAGTTGGGGGTCAATATCCTAGTTGGGTGGTCAACTCTGTCCATCTTACTTCGAGGGTCGATAAAGTGAGTACCACTCTGTGGCAAATCAACATTGTTTTTCCTTTAGAAGAATAATACTGTTCCCGTCATAATAATGTGGAATTACCACCGTTGGCTCAGGGTCACTTATATCACTGACACGCTGATGAAAATAATTGTGCATGATTATACAGTATTTGTTTTGACTGGATCGTGGCATATGGCGGTGGATTAACTCTCGTTCATAACCACGTGGAATGCAATCCACTTTACATGGCGATGATAACCTGTGCACGCAAAGCCAGGAGAGAAAATGAATTAGCTGTACAGTCAACTTCACCCACGTTTACGCCTAATCCTTGCACATTACATGACGTTCCTCAAGCAAGGTGGATATAATCACGAATGCGAATGGGGCTGGGAAGAAATGGCACCTCTGTGAGACGCTCACCTGTAAGGCAAGTTGGTGTTATTGAGAGACAGTACGGCGAGGATGTTTGAGACCGGGTATTTACGCGGAAGGGTAGGCATGCAATCACATATTTAGGTTTCCTCTGGGCACTTTGGTTTGCTAACGCAGGCAATGAACAAAATACTCAACAACAGTATTGACCAGTGAGGCTTTTATGTGCTTTATTTAAAAGTTGTGAACAAGCTTTGAGAAAACTTGACATTTAAAGACACCCGCGGGACGCTTAAAATATGGTACCACATCCCTTTCAGCCTTGCCACATATGTCCTCTTTATTGCATTGCTGTGCGTTTGTTTAGAATAACATTCAATGCCATGACCTTTATTTGGGGCGCCGCGGTGGCGAGATGTTAACTCCCTCGCCTGGTAGGCAAGAGGTCGTGGCTGCGATACCGACCCTGATGCCCGCATATTTGGAGTTTGCATGTTTTCCCCGTGGTTGCGTGAATATTTCTCAGGGTCCCTCCACATTTAAAATCAACATGCGTTTAGAGTATTTGGCTGCTATACATTTCCACATGATAAGCCACTATCATTTGTGGCCAGGATGCTTCTTAAAAAGAGCTTTTAGCTTAGTGGGCCTTACTTGGTACAAACGTTTTTTTTACATTCTCAACACTCGTTGACCATCACTCACACGTGTAAGGATTAATGGTAAATCATAAACATACGCAAACGTGTTTTGTGTTACATATATATGCGCTTGACTTGAACGTATTAAGTGCAACCCATTGAGAGGAGTACCTTCTGATCTGCATTGTTTCCTTTGAATCCAGCTGTCATTGGACGTCACCGGCATCAAGGGCCACTTCTACAACAAAAAAGGATCGGGTCAAGATGCTGTTGCAAATCCTTGCAGCGAATTCAAGTCCTCCCACGTGCATTGTCGTCATCATCATCACGTTCTATGGGCAGATAGCCCTGTAGGTGTCCACTTTCCTCTGTCTTGTGCCAATGTGCTCAAGCAGTGCCACATCCAACTGGCACCAATCGATTGTTTTTGTCGTTGTCAAGCCATTCTCTGTTAGGTCTTCCTCTCTTTCCGGTTGCTTCCGTTTTTCTTGAAGAACACACCTTTTATTCCCCTGTTGTCCATCCTAAATATGTGTCCAAATAGCGCCAATTCATTGTTGCGCGAGTCCAACTTGCTTCGTGTCGGAAACATTGCTGCCATCAACCAAATCTGGCGACGGCTGGAAAAGTGTTTCCGATGCTGCTCTCGAAGCAGACCGGCTCAAGGGAGCGAAGGTTCTGCTGAATCACACGAGGCACAACATGCAACTCCAGGCTAATGCTACGCAATTCATTGTGTACCGTACGCAACAGTGAGTGCGTAACTGTATGCGTGCCGTCAGGGCCAGAAAGGCCTTCTCTGCTGGCCTAGAGATTATCAGAATGAGAAATTATTATTTTTTATAATTTAATATATAATTTAATTAATGCTTCATATACATTGAACTTCTTCCCCACCGTACGTAGCCAACCGCGCTAATCAGAGGTGCGTATGTGCTCTATGCATACATCTGTAAATGTGTGTATCGGCACAATGTATTGTGCTGTATGTAATGTTATAGCCATACATTTGCTGATATGTCAACATTTATTTTGTTGTTAAAGTCTGCTTAGGGAACTCAAACCAGGTTCGGAAACTAACTGCTGCGGACGGATAGGAATTGAATCTCGGGCCTCGGACTGCATTCATCCTCACAACACTCAAACACTCACCACCCACCCCTAGCCACGTACACCCTCATTAGATTCACCACTTTCAAAATCACAGTCACCAACAAACCACTTTCACCACCAATGCTCAATACACTCAGCACCTGTGACCAACACTCACCCTAAACACCCACCCTCACGACTCGCACTCACCACCCACGCTCCCCAAACAAAGATAAAGACCCCCCCCCCCCCCCCCGTATAGCCTGAAGAGACCGTTGGGGCAAGTGCGGTTAGCGAGCACCTATGAAGGCCAGCACGAGAGGGTGGGTGACCAGCACCACGCCCGGCCGCCTTTATCTCCCTAGTGGAGATGTTTACACACCACACCGGCTCCTCATTTGAGGCTGAGTTGACCTAAAGCAGGCCCAGGACCGGTTCAGATAATCGTCACTGGTGTTGAACCGTGAGCGGGAATCGAACCTGGGTCGCCAGGTTCGTAGTGCAACGCGCTAACCGCTGCACCACCGCTCCCAAGTTCACCACCCGCCCTCATCACCCACGCTCACCACTCATCGCCACTCACGCGGCTGTATGCGTATGTGATGCAGTTCGTTACCTATGGCGTCGTACATTGTGTTGAGTACACTGTGTAACAAATTTTTTTTGTTCCTGGTTAGTAAGTGTTATATTCTAATCGCTTATACCTCAAAAGTACAGAAAATGGCTTTTATTCCCCACAAGTTTTGCTTTTGTGACCAGGACACAAAAGCTAAGCTAATCCACTCCATTAATAACACTGTGTAACAAATGTTTATATTTTTGTTCCTGGGTAGTAAGTGTTATTTCCTAATTGCGTATGCCTCAAAAGTACAGAAAATTACTATTATTCCCCATAAGTTTTGCTTTTGTGACCAGGACAGTGATATTTTGAAATGTACCTATTTTCAATGAGAAAACGTGCACATTTGTGTAATTCCTTCACGTAAATACCTGGTCACAAAAGCAAAGTTTGTGGTGAATAATAGGCATTTTCTATACTTTTGAGGCATAAGCAATGAGAAAATAACACTTAGTACCCAAGAACAAAAATCGTGTTACATAGTGTTCTATATTACTTACGGATATTGGCACCATACGGATCTGCCCGATACAGCAATGCTATGAATAGCCAGGCTGCTCTCTATTGTAATGTTAAGGTCAGTGCACATACAACAAAATAGATACTTCTACATACCCTCCCTTGTTCGCGACATTTGCCGGCCCGTATCATCGCGGTTAACGAGGGGTTCTCGTCGATTTGTCATTGCGCGTGCGTCGCGGCAGCTGCGTCTGGCTTTGGCAGCGATCGTGAGCCATGTGTGGATATTCCACATTCACATGGCGGGGACAAGTCTATCCGAGGTACAACCACGATGGACTCCTGAGCATGAAGCGGTGCTCTTCCTCGCCTGTCTCGGTGATTGTTTTACCGACCCCCCCCCCCTCCAACGAAATGACGACGACGATGATGATGAAGACGTCGTCCCGAGCCAGGGATGTGAACCCACGTGCCCACAATTGTGAGCAAAAGGATCATACCCCGCGCTCAAATAGAATGCAGCCTATAGCCAGAGGTGGCCTCTCTAAAAGTTTATAGAGTGGCCACCTCTGGCTCGATAGTCGATTTAGGTGACCGGTCTAAAGTGCGTAGAGTGGTTACCTCTTGCTCTTAGATCTGTAGAGGCGTTCAGTCTATAAAGCATAGAGCGGCCACCTGTATAAGGAGTGGTCATCTCTTGCGCGGCTATAGTATCTTAAGTGTACCATTCTATAAAGCACAGAGTGACCGCTTCGTGCGTTACAATGTCTATGCATGTGCGCGGTCCAAAATGCACAGACAACAAGCGTTCAATCTCTTATTTTACAGTCAATGGAGGTGACCCACTCGGTAATGCATAGCAGCGATCACCTCCGGCTGCTATGCCCCTCCCGGTGCCATTGTACACCGCGGGCGGGCGGGTGGGTGCCTCTGCGCTCCCCCTCCGCTGGCTCTCTCTCTCTGTCGGCGCACAGAGAGAGTGCGAGCGAGCCAGCCGAGAGAGAGACCCGCGGCGTCTTAAATTACAACCGGGGCCCCGGACCCAGCACAGGGCGCCACACCCCCCCACACCCCCCCACCCCAACGTGCTCCCAGTGCGGGGGGCTGCACCCATACATATGCAGGGGCCGCGGCACTTTGTTCGCAATAAATTGCGCGCTGTCTGCGTGACGGACTGAAATCGCGGAGACGGCGGCGAGTTCGAGAGCAACCGCGAGCGAGTTTCTCGCCTCTTGTCTCTCCTCTGTCTCTCTGTCCGTGCTCTCTTGCTGGCTATAGCTAACTCTCGGATTCTCCACCCTTGCCCCCCCCCCGTCTCTCTTCGGCTTCCTTCTCTCCGCGAGCAGAAGTTTCGTGGCGCGCCACCGCCGTCCTCGGTCGCCGCCGTGGTTATTGCGCACTAACTAGCGGCCAACGCGTGCGCAAAAGCGCAGCGCCCGTGCGCCAGCTCTCGTCCGCATCTCCCTCCCCTTGCGTCTCGCAGTTAACCCGCGGGCCACCCGTTAGCACGAAGAGGGACGACATCTCGGTCACCATGAGACAACGCCTGAGCTCAGTGCGCCCTCGGCAAGTCATCGACACCGCCGCCGCCGCCGCGTCCTCATCATCATCCTGCTCCCCCAATTCTTCTACGCGCGCGTCCACGGCTCGGTCGCTACTCGCGATGGCGCTGGTGGTCGCGTGCGGTCCCTGGTCGTGCCTCGCTCTGGGCGGTGGCGGCGCGGGCCCCGTGGTTCGCTGCGAGCCGTGCGACGACCGGGCCCTGTCGCAGTGCGAGCTGCCCACGGGCTGCGAGCTGGTGCGGGAACCCGGCTGCGGTTGCTGCCTGACGTGCGCGCTGCGAGAGGGCGCGCAGTGCGGGATCTACACGGAGCGGTGCGGCTTCGGCCTCAAGTGTCTGCCCCAGGCGGGCGAGGAGCGACAGCTGCAGGCGATGCTCGAGGGTCGTGGCGTCTGCCGCCACTACGAAGGTGGGTCCCGGGGGGATGGGGAGCGCGAGGCGAAGTTCAGGAGGGGACACTTCGACTGATTTCCCCGGGGCGACTTGTTAGCGCATTTCTAAACAAGTAACCGGGATGTGGGTTTCATCACGGGGTGGGTTTGGAGATAAAATTAACTTGGGGTTCCGTGGGGGATAGGTGTGCCGGTGGGCAGTGTGTTGAGTTGGGTGAGTTTTTGCGCATCTGCGCGTGTCTGTGCGTGTGTGCGATGTGTGTGCACCACGTGTGTGTGTGTTCGTGTGTGTGTGTGCGATGTGTGTGCACGAGTGTGGGAGTGAGCGAGTGCCACGTTCGTCGCGAGCAGAATCGCGTGAACGCGAGCGAATGGTAACCGGGAGTGGTTGATTGAGGTAGTGCGCCCGTGAACACCGCATGTGTGTGTTCGCACGTGTGTGTGTGTGCACCACGTGTGTGTGTTCGCACGTGTGTGTGTGCACCACGTGTGTTCGTGTGTGTGTGTGTGCACCACGTGTGTGTGTGTTCGTGTGTGTGTGTGTGCACCACGTGTGTGTGTGTGCACCACGTGTGTGTGTGTACGCACGTGTGTGTGTGTTCGTGTGTGTGTGTGCACCACGTGTGTGTGTGTTCGTGTGTGTGTGTGTGCACCACGTGTGTGTGTGGAAGCGGACACGCGTTGTGTGCGCATGGCCTGCGCAAGAATGTGCGCGTGTATGTGAGCGCTAGTCCGTGTGCGTGTGTGCAGTCGGGAGCGGTGGTGTAGCGGTTAGCGCGCTGTGCTACGAACCCGGCTACCCCACACCGGTGACGATTATCTGAACCGGTCCTGGCCCTCCCCTAGGTCGACTAAGCCTCAAATGAGTACCTGGTGCGGTGTGTAAACATTGCCAATAGGGAGACAAAGGCGGTCTGGCGTGGTGCTGTCCACCCACACCCACGTGCGGCGTGTCGCACCTTCATAGGTGCTCGCTAACAGCACTTGCCCCAGTCTCTTAAGGCTATACGGGGGATCTTTGTCTTTGTGTGTGCACACGCAGGTTAACGTGTGCAGTGTTTAAAGACGTTCTGCTTCCCCGCAATCGTTTTTTTGTTTGTTTGTGAAATTCGAACCTCGAATTTCACCGCGAGCATCGTCCGCAAAAAATCCGCACGAACATCCGAGAAGTCGTTCGTCGCTCCCACACGCAAACCGCTGACACACGAAGTTCTTAAGTTCGAGCCGAATGCCCGGTCCGGTCGCTACCGCGTGGTCCGACAGGTCTCGTCCAAAGGCACCACCACTGTGCGCCTCTGGTTTTGGAAGAGGGGCGTTACGGGGGGTGGGGTGATGGGTACGGGAGAGCCACACGCCTGCGAAGGCGGACCGGTTCGCGTTTGGGGGTTTGGTGACGGGTGGAGTGTCGGACACGATGGCGAGGCGTGGGAGATCTCACGAAGCCATGCCATGGGGGGGGTGGGGGGGGGGGACGTTCCGTCACGTGTGCAGGCAGCCAGCCCCGGGCGTCAGATTATAACCACACTGCTTTTACCTTGGGGGTCTTGAGCCGAGCTTAGGCACATCGTATGCGGGCACAGTGATGCGCGCGGCGGAATTAAATGACCTCGCGGCGCCACGGACGAGCATTTAGCCCATCCGCAAGACGCCAAATAGACCCAGGGGGTGGAGGAGACGCGCGTGCGTGGTGTCTCCTTGCGTCTCTCGCAATAGGAGAGGTCACGGCGAGCCGGAGAGGTCACTGCGAGGACGGCACACGCGACGCAGCCTGAACGGAGAATCGGCAGCGCAACGAAAATGCCCCAACTCTACACGACAAACTCAATAATTCAGCCATTGCCATGGAGCGTACAGAACCCGGAGGCTTGTCAACGAGAGAGCCTTACGTTGCCTTGCTCATCCTCGTGTGAGCAGCACTCGCCCATGGGTTGCGGCCAGCACTGATCCGTTATCGTCATTTATTTATAAACAGACTCCACCGGCAAATTGTTGTTCATCGTGAGCGACGAGAGAGTTCACGCTCTAAGCGACATAACGTGCATTCCCCCTCGCGCCAATCGCTCCCCTTTATCGCCATGCGCCCACCCAATAAAAATGAAAAAAAAAAACCCCCAACGCGAATTGAATTCGCGGGGCCAATTAATGTCGCCACGCTCGTTGACGGTCCGGTGCCCGCGTGGCGGCTGAGCGGGGGGTGGGTGGTGGTGATGGTCTTACGGCTCCGTGGGTCTCGTCGGCTGCCACCTAGCGGACAGCGCGAGGCGGTGTCTCTCGCGCGAGACGGCTACGAAATCCGACGACGTTGGAGCCTTGATTCTCCACTTGCAAGCCCCCCCCCCGCGGGCCCCCTTTTGTGTGGCCTTTAGTGCGGCGCCCCCCCCCCCCCCGACAATACACAAATGTGAAAACTCCCTCCTCCCCATCATCGTGATGTTGAACCCCAATGGATTCAAATGTGTGGACGGTCCTCACACCGATGTCTTATCAGCAAAAGTGACACCCCCCCTCCCCTCTGTAGATGAATAAAGAACACTGTGTTGGTGGGTGTGAGGGTTCGGATTTTGACTCTGGTAGGAGGGGGGGGGGTTAGAATTCCAGGTGGGCAGTAATTAAATAACAGCATCCCCTCGCTATTTGCGAGGGATACGCTCCAGAGATAGCTCGCGAATAAAACATTTGCGAAAACCCTATCTTTGGAACGAATTGCCTGAAATAATTACGTAAATAAGTTGTGGAATACATGCGCGTGTATCGTACGTGCGTGAAGGCAACGTCTGCAGGTGCTATCTCTCTCATCTCTTTATCTCGTCACTTTATCTCTCATAACATTCTCCCTTATCGCTTTATCTCGACACTCTCTTGCGATGCAGTCGTGTAGAGTTCCAGATGCGATTCGCGGATAGCAAGTTCGTGAATAACGGCGGAATACTGTAACAGCATTCATTTGCACAGGAACGCTTCAATGAATCTTGAGACCCACTTTCAAATAGGGGCCTGCTAAGTGAAGGCATTTGGGTGAGTCCTTGCTTCGTGGGAGGGATGCCGGAATATCCAGTGAAAAACTCATGCAACCAAGCAGTCAAGTTTGGCTCAAATAGATCAGAAACATACTTGCTGTATCGTATACAACCTTGCCTACAGATCGCTGGATTACAGGCGAGCGTACCTGCCATGTCTGGCCAGATATAACCATTAGCCAAGCCACCCACCAGCTCACATGCTCCAGCCGTTACATCTCCATAATTATCTATGGTTTGTAACCATACAACCCCCAATATAACCTTTGAAATGTGAAATATGTAATTTTATATCTGTTAATTGGCGATTGTGGGATTAAAGGCCATCGGCAAGTTACGAGGTGTAGACTTTGAGACACTCTGTCCACGTGACTGGCAATGCACACCTCCATTCTAAATCTCCAAAAAATATATTTAAAAAACAATATGTAAATGTATTTTTTATACAAAGTATGCACAGAAATGGTCCTTAGTCAATGTAAACGGCTCTCCAACTGTACTGGCCCACACATCTTTGTTGACAAAACGTTGTACCCAGCGTGAGCAATGAATCATTGCATTTAGTCTCCAGCTAATGTCTCGTTTAGCCAATAACTCGTGAAGATGTGTAGACCTGTTAGGGAGAGTTGTAAAGACTTCGTTTTGAAGAGAGTGTCTTGATTGTTTTCCTCAATATGCATGATTGCCTTAATTATCTTACACCACTCTTATCTCACAATACTGAGCTCTCTTATAAAAAACTGATTTCTCGATGAATTTCCACCTACTCGAAACTGACAATGAAGTTGATGACGATGCAGTGCGCTTCTGCGGCCGTCTGGAACGCTCTTTCTTCCGATATGAGGAAGCCACTGGAGCTATGCACTTTTAAATCATCTAGATTGAACATTCATATCTTTAGAACCGTTGTTTGTGTTTTTTTTGTCCTACCGCCCCGCACCTCCGATTAGCACGGTGATTGGCCGATAGATTGACCTTCCTGGAAGTTGCGAGAAGTCCACCCTGCAGCACTATACACTGGCACGCATTGTCCCTTTCTCCAATTGCTCTCCCCCACTCGTCCACCGTGTCCAATCCTCCCGTGGTGTCTCCCCTCCCCCCATTGTCCTCCCCCCCCCGCCCCCCCGCAGAGGTGGACCCTCGCGAAGAGTCGAGCTTTGGGGACTCGACCCCGACCGAGGGCCCCGAGGTCGCCCCGCCGGCGCGCTCGCGCCACGTCGCCAACTCCAACAAGAGGAAGAAGGAGCGCTCGCGCCTGGTGGGCGACAACACGGTGGTCAGCGCACACGCGCTGGACAACAAACACGAGGGCGAGACCGTGAGTGCCCGCACAGCCGTCGGCCCGTGTCACACATGGGGCAGCCGCGCCCGCACGACGAGTCTGGGGACTTTCTGACCCAGTGGTTCTGAAAGCTTCGCCGTGGCCTTGCGCCCCACTTGGGTTCTCAATCGTTTAAAAAAAAAAGCAATGTATCGTGTTAATAAATACGTCGGGTTTGATGACACAAGGTAAGTTTTACTTACGTGCCCGTGCTTAATTTACGTTTCGATGATTTACCTTCGAACAAAAATATGGCCGTGTCTCGCACCCCCAGGAAGGGCATCTTGCACCCCCAGGGGGTGCAGGCCAAGTTAACATCCACTGCTCTAACCTAAGGGGTCCCTGCAGGCTACGTTGGGATCTTTGTCCGCTTGCACAAAATTCGGGGTTCTTTTAACTCGTGTGTCGGGTTATTTTTTTTGCGGTCGTGCGGGCCGTGCGGCTTGTCCCCAATCGCTTTTTCCGGCTGTACGGCTGACGCGTACATGTTCGGCGCCGATGTCTTGAGTTTCGCTCCGCGTGCTGGGAACCTCTTCTGGGGGAACTTACTTCCCGGCAAGTGGAGCTCAAACGTCGGGCATCCGTGCCGATACGAACAACCGTTGCGGTCACAACCTGCGGCGGACATGGGCCGGACACGACCCGTAACGTCGTGGTGGGAGTGAAAATGTGAATCGGAAATGGAAAGTGTCGTGGGCCGCCATCCTTTGCGCTCAGGCTCAGTTGGTGCTGTCTACATTTAGGTGGCGGGGGGGGGGAGGGGGGTGGGTCGAGAGTTCCCCCCCAGCAATTCCTTCCCATTTCCAGCCCTGGGTACAAACCTGCAACCCACGACCGAGAGCTAAATCGGTGTTTGTCTTCGCGGGGAAGGAAACCGGAGAAAACCCCGCCCCGTGCCTACAACAGCCGCCAAGCTCCAGTGGTTCACCTCGTCCGAGTGCTGACTCGGCTTAAGCTCGAGGAGATTCTGAGTTGCAGTGGGGCTGGGCACGTTAAGTGGCGATGTGGTCAGAGGCACGGGGCGCAATTGTCAAAAGACAGAGAATAAAAAAGACGAAGATACCCCATGCAGCATTAACAGACTGTTGGTTCAAGTGCTGTTAGCGAGCACCTATGAAGGCCGTAACGGCACACGAGGGGGTGGGTGGTCAACACCACGCACCAGGTACTCACATGAGGCCGAGTCGACCTAGGGGAGGCCCAGGACCGGTTCAGACAATCGTCACCGGTGTTGGCCGTAAGCGGGAATCGAACTCGCGTCCCCGGGATTCGTTGCGCTAACCGCTGCACCACCGCTCCCTCAATTGACACACAACACACAGCACAACACTCGCACGCGCCCCTGCGACTGAGTTGCAAAGAGCTGAGTGGCGTGGCTGTGATGGGAGCTGCTGCGTCACAATGCGTTGCCTCCTGGCGTAGGTGCATGGAATTAATTGACGAGCAGCGGTGACGATCACTCCGCTGCCCTTTCTGTGTCCCTCCCGAGGTTTGATTCTGCCCAACGTGTGGCGCTTGCCACAACCCCCCACCCATTCGCGTCCGCTGTTCCAGCATCACCGAGATCCGCTTAGCTGTTATAGCCCGTTCACCTCGGCCACAAGAGGCGACAATATCTGTGGTAGACAGGTGAAGGCAACGCCGAAGTAATGCCATTCACAGCGGACACTTTAACGTCCGCTTCTAAATGATCACTCCTTTTTTAAAGTGTATTTTTGTTGTTGTACATAATTCAAAGGCTCTGCAATGGTGATTCCGCTGCAAGCAGCAGCTGGCGTCCAACAACATTCTCTTGGCTAGAGCCTGCACCAGCAGCTCATCGATAAAACGGGTTTCAAATGAACGCGAGCGATGCTGTGATGAGCGCATATGTCCTACTCGTGTGTGCGTGTGCTTTTTTTCTGCGGACTCTTCGGTTTGTTTCATCGCTACTTTGAGAGCGAGCGCTCAGAACACACACACAAACACCACACACGCACACCACACACACACCACACACACATACACACCACGTGGACACACAACACACACTACACACGCACTCACCAGACACACGCGCACGCGTGAGGCTCTGGCGCCCTCTGGTGGCGCAGCTGCGGTATCACAGCCTCTGCATATAAATTCATGCCCACCACCACCACCACCAATATCAAGTGTCCCAAACTTCGGTCATTACAAGCGTTCCTTATCCTGTGCTGATTTCAAAAGCACCTCGAAATTAGCACGTTTGGCGACGTACGGTGCGAAAGAGGTTCAACACACATACAAAAGCGACGATCCCATCGATCAAGGGAACGTGAATGAGCGTCGCTTTTAACACCACTCCTCCTTGTGTCGCCGTCGCAGGGTCCGTGCAAGCGAAGCGTGGAGCTGGCCATAAAATACCTCAAGGAGAGCACCAACCTCGTGCCCAAGGCCATCTACATCCCTAACTGCGACCGCCGCGGATACTACAAGAAAAAGCAGGTGAGCTTCATCCCAGCAAAAACTCCGCAAGCTGACGAGCAAACATAACCTGATGCGGTGGGGTTACCAGTCGCGTGAGGTTAGAATGAGACTTTATTTTTTAGACTGGAAGAATCCGAAGAGCTATGAAGCTCTTTGTCATAGCTGTCCAGTGGAGGGATGGTATCAGTGGCTGTCTGGTTGATGAGGTGGTTGGGATCAGTAATAGGGCCGGTGCTTGTCGCCGGTTGGTGATAGTTGTGGTTAGGGCTCGCGGCGCTCCAACCCTACACTGTTTTCCCCTCTTCCCAATTGCATTGTTTATATCCACTTTGTTGTTTCTGCTGGTAAAGGGCACTGCACTGCAGCGGCCTTTTGAGACATAACACACCAAAGGAGCACTTTGTCCGTTGAAACTTGATGCATTGCCTTTGCCATTAAAGATGATATGGTTGCAGTAGTCACAATAGATTGTTCGTTAAGGATGGAGTAAACGTTTCGATTTAAAGCTTTCGTGACTGCAGGGATTCATCTTCTTGGTTCTTTCGGTAAAGTCAAGTAGAAGGGAAGTAATAAAATAATAAAAATAAAACATAATAAAATAATATTTTTATTATTTTATTACTTCCCTTCTACGTGACTTTACCGAAAGAACCAAGAAGAGGAGTAAAAGTTGTTCAGGAAGTACAGGGATTGTACATGGCCCTGTGTATATTTGCAACAGAACGTTTCAATGTTGAGAATGGTAGTGGTAATTATTTGGGAGTGAGATTGGAACCAAAAAAAGCCACGCTGATTTAATCGTTACACATAACCGAAAGCCGCTTATTTATCTACTGCAGTACACAGATATCGTTAATTCACCAGATAAGTACCCATTGAGATACAGATCTCCTTTGTACGGGGAGGCGTGGGAATTGATGTTAATTTATGGATAGCGGTGTCAAAAAAACGAGTGTGACCCTTTGCTCACTATAACCACATCAGCCACCCCTCCCCAACTTTCAGAACGGGTTGACACTGCTAGGCAGGCAGGCCCTCCCCACTGTAAGGCCGGTCTCCACAAGTCTCATCCCGAGCGCAGCACTCGCCACGTCTCAGTGCAAACCGCAATCTTTTGCACGAGCCAACAAACAGCTCCGGCCAACACAAACCCCAAATCGGATGTTGAGGGGTGGGGAAAAAAAAAGCAATTTTTCCATGAAATCCAAGTTGTGGCTAAATCTCCAGCCATCGATCGTGCCAAGGATGTTTAACGCGTCGAGGATTTCAGCGATCCGCGCTGTCGATTGCGGTGGATCTCGACTCAAATCCTCTGCTTCCCTCTAACCGCCCTCATCTCTTTGCCTCCTTCCCCGCTTCCCCGTGCCTCCTCCCTGGGCAGTGCAACCCGTCCAAGGGCCGCAAGCGTGGCCTCTGCTGGTGCGTGGACAAGTACGGGGCCCGGGTGCCCGGCTCCGAGCACATGGGCGGTGGAGCTCGCTGTCAGTCCCTCATGGAGCGCGACTGAAGCACCGCACCGGGGGAGGGACTCGGGGGTGGGGGGGGGGGGCTGTGGGAAGAGCGCGTGGGGAGAGCGAGAAAAAGGAAGAACTGGGATGGAGGAGGAGGGGCCCCCCTGATGGGGAGCTTCCCTAAGAATTGCCATCTTTACCCCCACACCCACCCACCGCTGTCCCTCTCCATCGCCCCCCCCCCTACTCCTAACTCCCCGCCGTGGCTTCTGAGAGAGGCGTGAGCTGCTGCAGAGCAATCTCGGCGAGACGGGCCTACGGGGTTCTCACCCCCACCGGGGTCGAGCCTTAACCATTCCATAATGGAAGACGAGCGATGTGTGGCGAAAATTTCGCTCCAGAAGCGGAGCCCTTCACTTGAAAGGAGGAAGAGGGGGCGGCAGGGGAAGGAAAGAAGGGGGTTTGGTGGGGGGGAGCGTTTGCACGGGAGGCAAAAGAGAGAGGTTTGGCGAGGGGAAGAGCGTTGTGGGGTCGTGGGAGCTGGCGGGGGTGGGACAGGGTCAGTTGAAGCAGGGGAAATGGACCCTTTTTGACGATGACGATTTTTGACTGAGAGCGGCGCACAAGCAGCGAATCCCTGCCAGGTCCGGGCGGGATGTTGGCACCGCGACACGGACTACGAGGCCTAAGGGAGCACCCCACTCTTTGTCTTTGAGAACACACTTCACACCACCACCAGATGTTACTTAGGTATTTATTAAGATCTATAAATTAAAGTATAATCTTAGCAAGCTATTTAATATAGTAGGTTCCTAATCGTAACACACGTCATTATACTGACTTAAACGTTCTTGAACAGTTAACCACGCGTCGCGTATTTGTGTTTTGTCGTTAACTTTTGGACCAATTAGCGCTAACGATGGCACATCGTCTGGCCGCGCGAGCCAGCCTCTTACCATAGCTCCTACCGTGTACTATCCTCTAGTTACCGCACGCTTAACAATTATACGTGGTTGTATATCGATACCTAGAAAACGCATATATAATATTAATAATGCTATTGATAAGAATAATGTTAATACCATCAGAGTCCATGGTAAGACTGTTATCTTACAGTGTGATTGTTGTTGAATAAAACAAACAAGCAAGTGGGGTCGTGTCAAAGTTGTACTTTTCACTTTCGTTTTTAATTGACCATGGTGAAGTCTGCGGGTTGCGTAAAAAGTCTGCAGACTTTTTTTTTGACACGGCTGCAAAAAATGCAAAAATATTGAATTCCGCCCACCCCCATTAAGAGAAAAGGCTGCCCCCCATTATACATTCCATCATTATTCTACGAGGACTGTATTGTGGTTACTAAACTGGCAAGGGACAGATTCTCCAGAGACTAGGGATGCAACGATTCACTCCTTCGCGATTCAACGAATTGTCAACGATGCAGGGTCACAATTCAAGAATCGTTTCTTCCTTTAAAAATATTTTTTTCTGTGAACGGAGCGGCCTCTAGTATCTGGAGGGGTCATGTGAACCCATCACATACAACTCGTATTAATCGAGGAACACCGCATTCTTACACGCGCGATTTGAGGCATGTATTGCAAGCTTAGGAATTAATATGAATCCATGTGTTGAAGCTACACCCTTGCTCGTTACAAGCGGAAGCAAAAACTACTTCAATCAGCATCTCAAATGTGGGTGACCCTCTGCATGCTTACCTCGTCTTTTCAATTACCAATGGCTTTGTGTGACCTAAGTTACCATAAAATACCGAGATCACGCGGGGGTTTTCACACATTTGCACCGAGCGGCTTTTCCGATGCTCACACTCGTGCACAGGAGCTGAGGTGAAGCCACGATCCATGGCGAAGGGGTCATCAGTCCTGTGTGGTGGTGGTGGTGACATGTTTCTCCCGCGCGAGCTGGTCCGAGTAGTTGTGACCTTGCACCGCGTGTGTCGTGCACTTCATTTCCCCGTCGTGAATGTTCTAGTCCAGGGGTTCTCGTTTTTGGCCATGTCCGGGTGAAAGACCCAGAAAATATTTATTCCGCTCACCGGCACACCCACATCCAGTATATACCCCCCGCTATTGCTGTGATTTCTAGTCACAGGCCTACTCCGGTCTACCAACGAGGCAAACATTAATCGAGAAATGAATCCCCGATGATATCACGAGCTGTCATTCTATGGTTTAGAGCAGGGCAGTCCACAAATGGCAGTCCTTACGATCCACCACGGTCACCTGGCATTTTTGTTTTATCTTTCAAATGCAAATTATCATTGCAGGCTGCACACACCTGATGATCGGTAAACATGCAAAAGGGTGCCGATTCGAATGAAGATTGTACTTACCAATCAACGACGTAATTTTTACTCTAAGAACATTGGCAAGCGCAGAACGGCATCCCGTGAGTGGTTCACCGAACCATCGCGTCTGTGCGTAGCCCTCGCTAAGGCGGTTGAGCTCAAAAAAATGAAATGGTGCATTGCTCAGGCGAGGGCAGCAATGCATCTTGGATGTAGCTGTTTGCTGCGCTGGGACAAGCGGTGAGATTCACGCCGCTGCCGACAACAATCCCGGACGTGCTTCTGCGACGTCGCTGCGCAACCTTCCTAACGCATGCAAGGACCCCCCCCCTCCACCGCACGAACGCAGCACCCGAATTCAGGAGGTGGGCGGGAGGGGGGGGGAGACGCACGCGCTCACGGGAAGAAGGGATGGCGCTGTGGCCCTGGAGATCAGTGTGCAAAGTTGTCGTCGACAGCAAGTTAGGTCCCGCCAATTCAGCGGTTGCCGAGGGCTCCCCTGGTGTGTGTGTGTGGGTGTCGTGCGTGTTAGGTAGCGGGGGGTGGCTAAGAGGCCGGGAGATAATCATTATTTTATTACTATTTTTTATTTGACCAGGTAAGGCCCACTGAGCTACTATATAGCTCTTTTTCAGAAGCGACCTGGCCACAAGTGATAGCTCAACGAAGTGGCTTATCACGTGGAAATGTATAACAGCTAAATAGTTTATAGCGAGTCCCAGGTGGGGAGACAGTGGCGCCTGCTCGGGTTTTTATTTATCCCACGTTGCCATGCGCAATGCAGCTGCGATTGCACCTCAATGGGATTCAGGAGCCAAGAACCAGGAATATTTGGGGGTTCTGTGCTGGCGATGCACTCTGAAGGATTTGAAGGGTAAGGAGTGGCGATGGTTAGTTTTAGGTAAGAAAGTGGGGATTTTACGAGGAATGTTTAGGATGTGGTGCAGGAGATGAGGCTGTACGATTGTAATCTGCATAGCTGGGACGATCCTGAATGAGATGGGATTGTGGTGATTTCTGATTTCCGGGGAGGGCTTGTTTAAGGATTGTTTGGTATTGTGTGTTGAGGAGGCAGAGCGAGTGAATATGAGTTCATGGGCTATTAGGAGAGGATTTGGAGTTCATTATTTGTTTGTATAGGAAGTGAAGGTAGGAGACTTTTCTGGAAGAATATGCAGTCAAGTTATATGTACGGTAAGTGGAGAAAAAGAAAGCAAGAACCCAAACATACAAAGACCGCTTATGTTATAGATACCTCCTCCCTAGGCCACGTGTTTTGGGCGGTCCGACACGAATCGCAAGCCTCGTTGACATTTAAACAGAATTGAAAATCACGGGCATTCTAATGGCATCGCTTATGCAACATCAGGGCGGTGATGACACCAACGTGTGCTATGTCAGCATGCCCGATGGCGATCACGGTTCTATTTCCTCATCATCAGAGAGCTTCAGACAGCTCAAGAAGCGGCACAGCACAGCCTAGCCACAGTACCTCTGTGATAAGAGCTTTTTTTTTTATTAGGTTTGTGTTCTACCGCATCTTCCTTTTTTCTTTTCTTCTTCCGTGAGTGTTTGGGGTTAAGGAGCGGAGCTTATGGGATTATGCGGGAGGGGGCCGGGTTGGCGGGGGTTTGGTTTTTGCGGCGGCACCGCCGGCCAGGTCGTCGCGCCCGGCTCGCGTCGGCGTCAGGAAGCGCTGGCAGTCCGGGTCGCCGCGCAGCACCGGCGAGCCCGTCACTTGCCGGCCCGTGTAGGGGTCCACAGCACCAGCACTCGCCGCGCCGCCCGTCCAGCGACGGCTTGCACTGGCGGGCAGAGAAACAACGGGGCGTGTCGGTCAAGACGGCGGGAGGTCGTAGGTCAGGGATCGAGGTCGGCCTCCTGCTCGACACGACATGACACTCGGCACTCAAACTAGATTGGGTGAAGTTTTTAAAGTGGACGGATTGGACGGTCGGATAGATAAGAGGGACAAACAATAAGTATGGACGGATGGGCATCGAGATTGACGGAGGGATTAATGGAAGGAAAAGACGGGCGGAAACACCGAGAGAACGACAGAAAACCAAAGATGCAAAACGGAGACACAGACGGTTTGACAGGCGAATGATGGGCAGACGCACAGTAAGACAAACAGGAACTTTATATATTAAAATGTGTATTATTATTGTTCTCGACAGACTTGCCTGTTTGGAGATGTAGAGGCCTCGGCGGTCGCAGTTGGGAATGCGCATTGGGTAGAGGCCTTCGGGGGACTTGTCACGGTCAGAAAGCTGCAGCATCCCCAGCCTGGTGAGCACCTGCTCCAGCTCCGTTTGGCACTGGGACTGTAGGCCGACAAACGACAAACGAAGATCTCCCTTATAGCCTGAACAGACTGTTGGGGCAAAACGCTGTCAACGGAGCACCAATGAAGGCCAGCATGGCACATTAGGGTATGGGTGGCCAGCACCATGCACGACGGCCTTTTGTCTCCACAGAGGCATCATTTGCACACCGCACCGGGTACTCATTTGAGGTTGAGTCGATCTAGGCGAGGCCTAGGACTGGTTTAGATGATTGTCACTGGCGTTGGCCGAGAGCGGGAATCGAACTCGTGTCGCTGAGTTTGTGGTGCTGTGAGCTAATCAGTGGCAGATTATATTATCTTAGCAGCAAAAGTAGCATATGCTACGGGCCCCGCACTTTCAAGGGGCCCGCGCTAAATGCTTTCTCGCTATCAATTCCGGTTCAGTGATTCTGCACTTGCTCTATTACTATAGTACTATACTGCCTTCAACTTTTATAAGGTTCGCGATTTGTCGTAATATGTGGCTGTATAGCAAGTGAATAAATACAATTACTTTACTATGCAAGTACATTTTTCTTATTTGTGTGTTTTTTATTTAGGGCCCCTTTATAACATATGCTAAAGACCCTGCACGAGCTTAATCCGGCACTGGAGCTACCGCTGCACTACTGCCAAGCACACACGCACACCCATACGCGCGTGAGCACAGGAACACACATAGCAAGGATACACACGCAAGCACTCCTGCACACAACAAACTACAGCACAATGCTTCTCATACACAGCTACGGAAGTGATTTTCAATTCAGGGCAACACCGAAGGGATTAAACCTGATGCAATAGCTGCAATGGTCTCGACAAGTAGGCAAATCTCTATCGTACCAAATAGTCATCGAATTTTATGTTAGCGGCAACATCTGCACAAAAGCCAGAATTAATTGCGTGAAATTATTATGTACGTAATTGCTGCTGCATTTACAGACGTTTAATCGCTGTAGAATGGCCCTCCAACACTTCCAAGTTCAATTCCTTAAACAATCCTGGTAAGACTCAATGAAGTCGAAACTGGCTCAAATTTTGCCTCGCTCGTGCAGACATTACCTCCATAAGACCCGTTAAATGTAATTTCATGCAGGTGTTTATTTATTAATATTTGTGGAGATTTCGTGACGGTATTTTACGCAACAGCAACCGGGCAGGTGTAGCGTGTTGTATGCATGTCGAACGTCTTTCACACCGTACGTAGTCAACCGTACTAATTGTAGATGCGAAACGTAATATCGAACATATACACTATTAACTAACACGGTCCCTGAACAAAGAAGGCCTTAGAGGTGGTACGGGCAACCTGACATCATAGAACTTGTATACTCTCCAGGCATACATTGTACGACGCGATTACCTTTAAAAACAAGTAAAAAAAAAGTATTATTAAATTTTTGTGAATCTATCAAAGTATGGTAATGTGTATATATATCTTTATTTTGTTGTAGCCTCAACAGCAACGTCAAACGCACACCGCGGCGCGCGGCTCACCGGGGTGTGCTTGTTGTGTACTCGCATTCCGAACGGGTCCTCCTTCATCCCGTTGGGCCGGCCCAGGAAGCGCGCGTTCTCCTGGGCCTTGTGGAGGCTGCGCTCCACCGCGTCGGCCTTGGCGCTCTGCAAGGGCTTGGTGCGTGGCGGCGGCGGCGCCATTGCCGCCACTACCGGCGACGCCGGCGGTGCCCTCCCGCGGCCCCCGTGCCACCCGTGGGCGCTCACCTCGTGCGACTCCTCCGCCTCGTCGTGCTCGCCCAAGTCGCCCCGCTCGGCACCTGCGGCGCGTCACAATGGAGCCTCAACCAGAGTGTGGGGCAAGCGCCGGAAGCGAGTAGCGCCTACAAAGACCGGCACGGCACACGACAGGAGGCGGGGGGGGCCACAACGAAGCAACACGCCCGGGCCGCCTTTGTCTCCCAAGTGGTGATGTTTACACACCGCACCAGGGTATCTATTGAGACTGAGTCGATCTAGGGGAGGCCCAGAATCAGTTCAGATATAATAATCGTCCACTGGTGTTTGCCGTGAGCAGAAATAGAACTCGTGTCGCGGGGTTCGTAGCACAGCGAGCTCACCGATATACCACCGCGTCTACGCGCACACGCACGCACACAGGTGGGGGGGGGGGAGCTGATTAGGATCGGTCTTGGGTCTGCATACGAAACAGGAGTCTAACGAAAGCAATGGCAATGCTCGTGGAAGGTCACGGAGGCAGAGGGCAACTGATAAAAAGATGGACTGAAGGGAGTGGAGGAGGCACTAGAATGTAAAGAAACGACGTGGAAATAACAGCAGCAGCAGCAGATGGGATGCGATGATCGCTCACGGTAGAGGACTGCTGCTACGTGAAGTCTGTGGATCCAGCATCATCTTGTCAAGGGGCTGGACGGAAGAAGAGAGATGGTTCTGGTGGTTGCCTATGCTTTAACAAGACCCTGAAGTCTAATACGTCGATGGTCTATTGCCGGTTACAAGATCGCTGCTTTTAAGACACGAGATAGTCATGCGCCAGTCTACCTCACCACTCTCATTTCTCTAAGCTCCCTTGTTTGCACACTCGACTCAACCAAGGTATTTTGGCTTAAGGCAGCCAATCTCCAAAACTGAAAGGTTTTCTCTGCTGCCTTGGTGGGCCCCCCAACTTCATGCACAGTGTTTTAGATGTCGGTTACAGGGGTGTGTGGTCTGACCATACCTCACCAAGCCGCTCAGTAACGGTCGGTGGAACAGGGTTGCGTGACTGCTCCACACACGACCTTTCGTTTGATATTAGCCGCTGACCCATCACTGGGTTCGTAATACATCATCTTGGCGGAAGAATTCAATATATATTTAAAAAAATTGTATACGCAGATTGGTGCAATCCAGACGACACCGTGCACATTGCTGCGCGATTACCGTGGGAAAGTGCTGACGGCGATATTTGAGTACCGCAGACTCTCGCTTCGCCACTGATAGCTTCCCTAGCGAGCAGTCTCTCCTGACACGCAGTGCGTCTCCTCACACGCAGTGTGTCTCCAGCCCTCTCGCCTCCTGGACGAGCAACATTTCACCCTCCCCCGACATTTCGCTCATTTCTTTCTGTCCCGCCTCGACAATTTTAGTTTGCAGCCGCTAGCCTAAACGTCGCAGGAGAGCAAAGCATTTACATTCGTGGTCAATTATAATCCACTGTTGTCCGGTGGAAAACATTTTTGATCAGAAAATTGATGGGTCCGTTGCATGCCTGCTTCTTGCCCCTCTCCCTCCGTCTCCCCTTGCCACGTAAAACTTACTTCCCAAACCCTCATTAGGCTGGTCCCTCTAATGCAATGCCTATTATCTCTACCAATAAACCTACCTTTCTAAACTTTGGCTGCCCACGAGGATGCCCTCCCCCCCCCTCGTGGGTGGATTCATTTGGGCCATTCCACCGACCCTAGGGGCATCTGAAGCCACTCCGTTTGAAAAAAACGGCACTTTTTTATTTCATTAATCAATTTCGGGCAGTGTTTTTGTTGCCCTCGCGTCGATGGGAGTCCAGTTTACCATGGGAGTCTAGTTGATCATGGAAGTCCAGTTTACCATTGAAGTTCAGTTTGCCATGGGAAACCAGCTTCCATGGGAGTCCAATATATCATGGGAGTCCAGTTTACCATGGGATTCCAGTTTACCATGGGAGTCCAGTTTACCATGGGAGTACAGTTTTACCATGGGAGTCCAGTTTACCATGGGCAGGAGTTGGCAATCTGCATCTCCGTATTCACATGCATCGCGGCTCTTGAAGTATTGCGGGGTTTTTTTCCCGAATTAAATTTATTTTTGGCTATTTTTGTTCTTTTGGTTGCCAACCCATTTGGCCTAACTGATATAAAAAAAGACACTGACCTACTTTCGTGCCATTTCCAATAACGCCGCCTGTGCGGGTTAAACACACGACACAGTTTCACATGGATACGCGGCCGACAAACAGACGATTTGGGGTACATCAATTCTTAACGGCTCTGCGTCATTGGTGCTGGCGTCAGTTCCTCAACTGCAACATTTTACTGTGTTTACCAAAGGGGGTCCTTGCTCTTGCTTTTTGGATTCCCTCTAAAGAGTGCAATATATCACACCGGTGGTGGCTCTGGAGCCTGGCCGTTCAGCGGGACCATCTCCGAGCCAGCTTCGCATGCGGTCAAACGTTCTCATTCCTTCTGCAGATGCCCTGTGATTCATGCCGGAGACCACCAAAGCGCGTCGTCCGCTGCACTGTGGAACGTTAAAGACCCGTGCACGTAATACGCACATATAGCAAGTTTGAAAGAAAAAAAAAACGGCCACAACTAAATAGCGAAAAACAAATGGTACCTGTGTCATCATCAGAGTTCTCAAACCAGTGTGTGGGAACCTCAATCGGTGCTCACCGTCCTCAAATAATGGGCACTGAACTACCGCATACAACACGCGTGGGAGAAGAACCAACTTCAACGAAATTTACTTCCGTCAAACAAGCTGCAATGTTTGAATTGATCGGGGAGAAATGACGACATGGGTTTTGATGACAGGGGTGGGCATTGTGTGAAACTTTGTGCCACAATTGCCCTTTGAAAGCAACAAAACAAAAGTGCCACGGCCCACACACAAAATTTGACTTGCATGGAGATTTGACCACGGAGGTTCACGTGTCTCATTTGCATGTAGAAGAGTGACTTTTAAATTGCAGCAGTGAAATACAAGAAACAAAAAAAAAACTTTTCTGGAACTCACTGGGGAGTTGCAGCTGTGGGCGCATAGCTTTGTGCATCGCGCAATGAACCCGGCGACCTGAGTTCCCCAGACACGGTTAACATCGGTGGTGGCGGCTGCGGTGAGTAATATCCGAGCTGTTCTTGCAACCCCCCCAACCCAAATCACCAAACCACACTGACAAGTTTGGTAAAGTATGGTTAAAAACCCTCACGAACCAACACGCCATGAGGGCCTTGAATCAGCAGTGGATTAACACAAGTCTGCAAATTAAATAATAAATGTATACTCACTAGGCATGCAAGACTACATCTGTTAATCAATGAAAACTGATTCTTTATCCCAAGAAACATGCATTAAATCATCCACGTGGGAATGCACGTTTACAATTTGCACTTAGGCGAATGGAGCAAGCCAAAACTGTACAAACTATATAGAACAAGTTAAAAAGATTACAAATGAGACAGAAAATGTGGGCCAAAAACTATTTGGATTTAATTATGACCCCGAATCGTGACAATTTATTAAATGTATAGGGGTGGGGGGAATTCAGGATCCAGTGAATTGTAACTTGCAAGGCCGTAATTATAATATACTAGCGGGAAGTACCCGGCGTTGCCCAGGCGAAAAAGACACTCACACACACATCGACTTACACACAGACATCAACTCACACTCACACACACACATCGACTTACACACAGACATCAACTCACACTAACACACACACATCGACTTACACACAGACATAAACTCACACGCACACACACACATCGACTTACACACAGACATCAACTCACACTCACACACACACATCGATTTACACACACACACATCGACTTACACACATTATATTTGTCAGAAAGCCCACGTGAAGTCTGAGTAAAGTGTCAATCATTTATGTTGCGCTGCATGTGTAATATTTGTCGACAGTAGTAGCTGTCAATTATTGCATATTTGTTTAGTATAGTGTATAGCTGCACTTGCTTATTATAAATAGTATTATTAGTCTTGATTTGAAGCTTTGGTGACTGCAGGAATCCATACTCTTTGGTTATTTCGGTAAAGTCACGTAGATAGAAACGTCGTGATCTATTAATTTTCTATCTCCGTGAATTTACCGAAAAAAACAAAGGGTATTATTAGTGTTTCTTTGATTAAAGTGCAAGCAATTGTATTACAGTCAGCTTTCATTCACAGTCAGTGTCATCGTGAGCAAGAGGAAGGGTGGCAGTGACATTCGTCAGTTTTTTGGGCAGCCGCAGAAAAGAATAAAAGTAAGTTGAGAGCAGTGAGAAAATGAGTACCAGTCAGATGATAGAAGTATACAGTAGTACAAGAGATGAGTCAATGTTTCTCGATATAATAATTGTCATTCAGATCAGAAATTGTTATTAACCCATTCCTGAACATCATTACAAGAAACACCACTTGTTTACTGATACTATTTCATTCATGATCACTCTGGTACATTCAGAGTAAGGAGAGAGAGAGCATGAGGATGCCGACAGGGCAGGGAGAGCAGGTGACATGGAGGTGAGTGAGAAAAGGAGCAAACGTTGATGGTTAAAACCGAATAATGACATCACAACAGTCTAAACCTAATGTTAATTTAAGCTGAGATATTCCTCTAAGTATGGTTTCTCACGTGTATTTCAACTAATACAATCAAGCAGGGAGAGTGAGTTTGAGACAATGACAGAGAGAGAGAGAGAGCAGACAAGCAAGCGAAGATGAAGCTGCAGGAGAGGTGGAGCTTGGACCTCGCCCAAATCAGCCAAATGTTAATGTCATAACCTAGCCAAACCCTATCAAATAGGACACTCTACTTTCAGGAGAAATGGTTTAAAGATTATACTTGGCTCCATTACAGCCCCTTCTTAAAGGGGTCCTCTGTTTCTATTGTGCTATACACTTTGCAACACAAAAGTCTATAAGCGTACGTCAAAAGCAGATTCAGCTTTTGTCAAGACTGGCTTTCAAAATTGCAGGAAGAAGGCACTGGAGAAATGTAGTGTGCATAAAAAGACAGCCAGTGTCACAAATTAGCTGTGATGATTCGGAT